ACAGCTACGGCGGAAGGCTACGCCTGCGATTTTGTTTCCGAGGAGATGGTCCCAGGCCGCATCCTCAGGCTCAGTGGTGAAGTTCGTCCCTTGACTCAGGGGAGTCAGAAGTGCAGCTTCATCCACTGGAATTTCCACAACCACGACATCTCACCTGATCAACGGCGACGCGTCGCGCACCGTCTTCGGCAGGACCTGGCGTGGGCACACCATTGCCCTGCCACTCGGTCCACCTTCGTCGTGGGCGACTTCAACTTCGGCGACTATGATGAGACAGACACCTTCCTGGACGCCGACCAGCCTCCACAGACGCAGGCCGAGCATCCCCGCCGTGGTGAAGGCGGTCGTGCCCAGGCGGCGCCTGCGGCTGGCCAGTCCGCTCGGCTGGCCCGCCATCCTGGCCAGCGACAGTGGCTGGAGGCGCTGCGGGCAGCAACGGAAATGATGCCAGGCAAGCCAACGCATTGGAACGCCAGCACACGCACCAGCTCCTCCATCGACCGAGTGTTCGTGGGGATACCGCAATGGCAGCTATGCCAGGGCTGGCAATCGTGCCACGTGCGGGGCGAGGCACGTGAGTTGCACATCAGAGGGATTAGCGATCACTCCTTGGTCGCAGTTTCGCTGCTACGCCGAGCGCCTGGGCGCCGACACCACGACGCGCCAGCGGCCATCCCCCTCGCTGTGGTCCAGCGCCCGCGCTACAAGGAGATTGTTGACGGGTACTTGGCAATGGTCCACCTGCAGCACCAAGAGCCACCTGACGAATACAAGTACCTCGCGCGGATCTTGCAGGCGGCGGCCAGGGACGTCCAGAATGAGATCCTCGTCGCTGAGGGCCGGACCAAGGGGGCCACCGCCATCATCTGGCGACAGATGGCGAGGGCGTTCTGGCGCCAAGACTGGAGGCTGGCGCAGTTGGTGGTATCTCAGAACGCCTGGGCACGGGAGCTGATAAGGGTCTCCGAGCTGTCCCGATCGGTCGAGATCCTCGACTACGGCGAGTTCCAGAGGAGATACAACATCGCCCAGCGGAAGGACGCAGCGAGCAGGCGTCGAGTCCTCGAGGAAGCGGTCCAGCATGAGCCTGCTGAATGTCGTAGGCGCCAGCTCATGGCCCAGCAGCGAGCTCTGAAGCGGAGGGCGCGGCTTTGGGCCCCCTTCAACGCTCGGCGCTACCTCGCGTGCCTCGAGATGGACGGGGCCGAGTTGATCGAGACCACAGACATCAACGCAGCGCTGGGCCAGCACTGGGGCAAGGTATTCTGCCCGCCGACACCCGCCGCACTCGCCAGGAAGAGAGCCCGAGAACAGCCGGCCTACCTGAAGCGCTTCGGGGTCCCCGCAGTCGACTGGGACACCTGCCGCCCACCCACTGTGGCGACGGTGCGGGAGGCGCTCCGTCGTGCGCGCCCAGCAGCCCCTGGCCCTGACGGCCTCCCAGCCGCCGCATGGGCTATCGCGGCCGGCGGCGCGGAGGCCCTCCACCGCGCCCTTGTGTGGATGCTGGGCGGCCTGCCCATGCGCTCAGACTACAACCGCGCGATCATTATCTTCCTGCCGAAGGGATCGGCAATGGCCGACATGGTGAGCGTCTCGAGAGCCCCTGGCTGCACGCGCCCGCTTTCGCTGCGCAACACGGGGGCCAAGGCGATCAGTGCCGCCCTGAACCAACCTCTGAAGAGAGCTGTACAGGCGGCAGTGGCGCCTAGCCAGCGAGGCTTCATCTGTCAGCGTCACTTTCTAGAGAACCTAATCGAGCTCGACAGTCACGCGAGAATTGCAAGCATGAGGGCGATGAATCACCCCAGCTCTGACGTCGCCTCGCCTCTGCTTCTTGCTTATGACTATGCGCATGCTTTCCCATCAGTGGCCCACTCGTGGCTCTGGGCCGTCTTGCACCAATGGGGAGCTCCAGAGGCCCTAGTGAATGCTATCCGCGCCAACTATCTGATGGCGGCCGCCGTCAGCTCTGACTGCTCTAGGGGCCTCCTCTTCCTCATCCTCGCTGGGGTCCTCCAAGGTGACCCTCTGTCTGGCAGTCTGTTTGTCCTAGCAGCTCATGCGTTCTGCGCAGACATGGAGCGCGCCCTTGAGGCCGTTGGCAAAGGGGTCGGGAGGTGGTGTGCGGGCGACGTGGGGGCGGTGGTGTGGGGAGAGGCTGGCCTCAAGGAGCTCGCTAGGATTTTCAAGAATTCAGATAAACTGGCGGGGCTCGCTTTAAAACCATCGAAGTGTTGTGCCACCGCACTTTGGGCCCCGTGGTCGGAAGATCTCGTTGCCACGACGTCCGAGATGCTGGCCTCTGCGTGTGCCCCATGGGCTGAATTCAAGATTGGTCCGACGCTAGAGTACCTCGGATGCACAGTAGGCCCAGCCGCGGAGAGCGAAGAGCAGTGGGCAGCACCAGTGGCGAAGCTTGAGCACCGCGTCGCCGCTCTGGCGCGGTCGCACGCCGACACTGCTGCCACCGTCTCTCTCTACCACGAGCGAGCTCTTAGTGTGCTCTCGTACAAATCACAATTATATGAAATTCCTCGGTCCCTCCAGCGGCGGGAGAAAGATTTGCTGACTCGTGTGTTTCGGGCCCCTGGATCCTGGCTCTCGATCTCCTGCTTCCTCGACCTCGACTCCCTCGGCGGCCCGCGGGTCCAGGGTTTCCGAAGCAATGCTCTCGCCGCCAGGATGAGGACCGCCCTGTCGTTTAAAGAATGTTGGTCCAGGATGTGTGACCTCCTTGAAGCCGCCGCGTGGGAGCATGCCCAGGTTGGCCAACTGCACTGGCGCGGCCCAGGTGGGGCCGAGGAGCTCGGCCACTGGCCGTCCTTCTGGCGGGAGCCGGCGGTTGCGTGGTCTCTGAGGGAGGCGGCGGAAGCTCGACCGTCTCTGGGTCGGGACCGTCTGGCGGCCCTGGAGGGGCTGGCGGCCCTCGAGGCCGAGCGCCGTGTCGCGCGAGAACGCTCCGCACCGCAGAGGGCGGAACGATCTGGCGGGGCTGGTAGTGGGGGCCCTAGACTCAAAGTGCAGCGTGCTCTGCTGAGAGGCATCCGTCCTGCGATTTACCTTTCTCCCACTCGTGCCCCTTCCTCCCCCCCCCGCTCCCTCATCGCCTGTCTGCGTCTCCGTCTTGTCAAGTGGTTTGGGATCACTCTCGAGACTTCAGCGACCTTCGACTGGGACGCTATCAATTCTATGCTCGCCGAGGCCCCCCCCTCCTGGCGTATGGCCGCCATCCGCACTTGGACGGGAGGTTGGGTCACTGACACTAGACTAAGGAATGTCGACCAAGGCTGCCTGCTCGGCTGCGAGGATGCCCGATATAGCCTATCACATTACATCAACTGCCGCCGATTTCTGTGGAATGTGGCGATGGTCTCCCGTCTCTCCCTCCCTGCCTCCACCTCTGACCGTCTCGCTCTGTCGGAATGCTCGCTGGTGCGGCTGCGCCAGATAGTCATCCTTTATCACTTCCACCGTCTGCTGCATGCGAAGCGACGAGCCCCTGGCTCGGCCGCGCCCGACCCGCCGTCGTCTCTCCTCATTGCCCGCGCCGCTCGCCTCGCCACCGACCTGCCGATGGGCGAGTGGAGGCGCGCGAGCGCGCGGCGAGAGAGAGGCCAAGGGTAGTCTGACCAAGGGACATCCATGGACGCTCCGCCTCCTCCTCCTCCTCCTCCTCCTCCCTCCTCCCTCCTCCTGCCTCTTCCCTCCGCCGACCCCCAGACGATGTGAGGAACCCACGGGGCCCCCAGAACGGCTTGCACGACGAGCTGGGTTTCAGCTGCTTTTGGTTTGGGTATCCTTGCAATTCCCCCCCCCGGGTCTCCGCTCCTCTGACCACTTCTTGGACCGCAGGGGGAGGGGGAACTGGGGGAGCGGAGCAGCCTATCACTTCGCACGCTTCTGGACATCTCTGGCGAGCGCCTTGGGGCTTCGAGGAGGCCTCGTGGACCTTTCTTCGGGGCCCTTCTGGGGCTTCTCGGGGGGGCCTCCTGGGTGCGTCTCCGGGCCTCTTGTGGGGCTCTTGGGGCTTTTCGGGGTGCGTCTCGGCGGTCTCTAGGGTTATCTTTGGCCTCTGGGCTCCTTCCCTCTCTCCTCCTCCCTTGAGCCTCTCTAGAGGACGTCTGTGGCCTTCTTGGCCGTTTATGGGATCCTATTGGGCCGTTTGGGGGGTCTGTTGGGCCGTTTTGGGGGCCTCTTGGGCCGTCTTGGGGCGCTCTCGGGGCATTCAGGGGCCTTCTTACGGCGATCTTGGGGGCCTCCTGGGGGCCGTCTTGTGTTGTCACAAAAGCTCGAGCGGACGAGAACGTTGAAATCCTTCAAGCACCAAGGAGAAATTGTTCGCTTCCGCCCCTCGAAGCCCTCTTGGAGGTACTCTTGGAGCTTTCTTGAGGCGTCCCGGACGCCTCTTGCATCGTCTTCAGACCCGCTTGGGCGTCTGGGTGCAATCCTGGGGTGGGTCAGGGTCCTCTTGGACTGGCTGGCTGGCTGGATTTGGAGGCTCGGAGGGCCCCGGAGGTAAGCTGACGAGCTCGTGCCCCCCCCCTCGTGTCCCTCCCCCACCCAGAGCAGGATTTTGGACCCCAGGGGAGGGGGAAACGGGGAGGGAGACAGACAAGTATCTCACCAACCTTTTCGCCTCCTGTACGCGGGGGTCCGCGGCTCTTGTCATGCCTGTGCCAACCAGTGTTGCTCCTGTGTGGGACGCATCCGTCCTGAGCAGTCTATCCTATGCGAGGCAACAGTTAACGGCCAACGAGCTTAGCAGGTATGATGCTTTGACGGAGTCATGTGGCGAGGAGCCAACATGTGAAGAAATGGCATTACGGAATACGAAAAGCGATGGTGAAGATATGATCGTCTTCTCCTCCAGCTGTCCCCATCATTTTCACCCTGCCACTTCAGACATCAAGCTATTCCTCTTTTCGTGTATCTCCCTTTCAATGCACTCCTCCGTCATAATCTTCTCAGTGTTCTGCGTACCTTATCTGTGTGAAGAGGAAGTGGCTACCGAGACACTAGACACGTTGGAGGAAGGTGCGACACCATCATTCCCGTCACGCTCAGGCTACCATTGGGGAAAAATGAGGGGGTAAAACGACGCATAAGGAGGCAGATGGGGAGGGATCTTTGGACGTGGGAGGGGAGGGTAGGAGAGGCGTAGGGATGGGGGATTTGATGGGTGAATGGGTGGGCGGATGGAAGGACGGCGGCAATGGCCTCTGTCCGCGTGGCCCAGCGGGGTGGGGGGCATTAGATGTCGTGACCGCCTCCAACGAGCGAAGGAAGGAAGGAAGGAAGAAAGAAACTTTCAGGGAGGCGAGAGAGACGACAGGGAGGGAAGGAGCTTGGGAGCGAGGTTGGGAGGGAGGGAGGGAGGTAGGGTGGAAGGACGTGTAAGGGTGAGGAGGAGAAGGAGGAGGATAAGTCATGCTGAGTATGGGTGGGAGGGAGAGGACGAGAAAGGTTGCTTGACACAGCATGAGCTCGGACGTGGCGATAAGTGCTGGGGAGGTACGCAGAAGACGATGAGCAGGGGAAGGATGGATAACCATAGTGGTATTTGCAGCATGAGGGAGTGTGCACATGGCGCCCCTTTGTCTCTTTCCCTTCTTCTTCTCCTGGTTTCTCTCTCTCTCTCTCTTTCCCTCGCTCTCTCTCTCTCTCTCTCTTTTTCTCCCTCTCTGCCTATCCGTCTATCTCGCTTTTGCCATTCTCGCGTATACATGCGATACACATGTAATTGTAGATATGCAAGTGCGTATGCGTGTATGTGTGTACATAAACAATTTCGAAGACTTCTACGGCGAACCACGTCCGCCTCCTGCCTTCCGGAAACGCCTATGTGGCCAACCGTTGTGCTGAAGGATTGCCAAACTATTCGACTATGCGTTTCCCCCAGGCTTTGTGGACAGCCTAAGAAGGGTGGAGGGAAAGGTGGAGGAGCAGGAAGGGTAGGGGGAGCCATGAAGCAGGCATGCAACGACAATCGAGCATTGATCGGGCGTCGAGCGAATGTAGAGCAACCGGAGCACCCGTCCACCCATCCACGAGCACACCTGGGCACATGCCCGTGTGTGCATCCCAGCTGTCCCTCCTCGGAACGCCCGCTCACCAGCCCGGCCATTTACGTACAGATGCTCACGCATACATGTTGACGCATGTGCACGCGGACAGACAAGCACAAACTCACATGCATCGACGCCCACTCGACTGCAGACGCACGCGCGTTCAGACTCAAACGCTTTGCTACATCCGCAAGTACGATGGTCGCAGCAGAAGGCAGAGAAGGAGGAGGGACAGCACCGCGGAATAGAAAGCAGTAGCGAGTGGCAGGTAACGGCGTCTCCGAGCCCACTAGCGTGAAGAGCTTGGCAAGCCTCGGGGTGAGCCTTTCGAGGGAGAGGTGGGGGAATAGTCTCCTGCAGTCGCTCTTGAACGTGCCCCCTCCTCCCCGCCCCAACCTCAGCCTCTTCCACTTCCCTCCCTGTCCTCTCACACGCGTAATCCCGTCTTTAGAGTGCGTTAGCGCCGATTAGCGTCTGGCTGGTAATCGATGAGATAGCGCCGATTTAGCGTCGATTAGCGTCGATTCGTGCAGATTTTCTGGCGATTGACGTCGAATCGCCAGGGCCAACAAGATGGTATGGGAGGCTCCGAAGAGTTGCGACAGAACTCTTCCCCGCTTTCCCCGCCCCCCTGCCCCCTGCCCCCAGCTCTCCTGCCCTCTCTTGCCTCCCCTCCTTTGCACCCCTTGGCCCCCCTGCCCTCCTGGGGTCCCCTCTCCGTCTCCGCCCTCCCTTGCCGCCCTCGCCCCCTGCCCCTCCCTCCTCCTCTGGCCCGCTCTGGCTTCACGGTCGACGCAGAGGTTCGCCCCGCCCGCCCTGGGTCGGCCCGAGCTGGGTCCCCTTTTGCCGGTGGCTCTCGTGCGGACGGGCGCACCACGGCGGACCGCGCACACCGCGGACCACTGCCGCGCTCGGGTTCGCCGCTTTCGACCAAGCGCGCTGCCTGGTCCAGGGTCTCTGCGCGCGCCTCGCGTGCGTCGCCTGGGAGGGCATCTGGCTGACCTCTCGGACGTGCTGCGTGGGACGGCGTCGCCTTTCGCCCGATGAGGCGCGCACTTGCGGGCTTCTTGTCAGAAAGGGACACCAGATTCCTCGTCGACGCTGCTGATCCATTGGGCGCTCTGAGTTCCGTTCACCAGAGGCGCTGGCCTCATGACGAACCATCGGTGCATGAGCAGGCATCTTCGCAACGTGTCGCTGGCCAGCCTGGAACGCACATCTGGGGTGCCATTGTCCTTGGCCAGCGCGCTTGAAGAGCTTCTGTGCTCAAGACTCTGTACTCCGAGAGGTATGGCAGCCGCGAGAGCGGCCGCGCAGCGCCCCAGACGGCCTCCTGCCGCAGCCCTTCCTGGCACCTCGCCTGGGGTGCGCGAGCATCCCTGCAGCTTCCCGCTCGTCGGCGCAGCGAGCCATGGTGCAGTGGAAGAGCTGAGGCGAATGGTCGACTACCCGCAAGAGTGACCATTCGCCGGAGTGACCTTTGGTGCGGGCTCATTGGGGTCCCGCGATTGCCGAGCGCGATTGCGATATCAGCGTCTTGCGCACTTGTGTTTGATCCCCCCGCGGCGCCCAAGAAGCCGCGCACCAGAGGTCACTCTTACCCAGGGTCACTCTTGCGTGGAGCCGAAATGGGAAGGGGGAGGGCAGAGAAGGCAGCCGAGCCGTCCCCCGGCAGGCCACACGCGGCAGTGTCTGGCTCGGCGGCCGTGGCTCCTCTGAAGCGGTGCCAAGCCGCATGTGCCCCACCCGGCGTCTTCATGGCCCGATGCTCCGCTATCGCTACGATGGGGGCGTTCGTTAAGGAATCTGCCAGGGGGGCTTTAAACCCTGGAGGATTCCTTATCTGATGAGGTCGGCAGTGATATCCATGGCCAATCCACGATTGGTGTTCCACCAGCTTCCAGACCCTGAATTCCTTACCCAATGCCCTCACCGTACTTATTGGTCGGACTTTGCCTGCGTTCAAGGCTCTGGAGGCTTCGGCGCCTAATCGAGCCCCGCGCGCGCTTGAGCTTTCGATGCCTGCAGCGCCACCCGTCTCCAGCCGACAGCAGGGGCAGTGGAGCGTCGGTGTGTCCAAGACGTTTTATCTGCTGGCTCCGCTGCTGCCATCCTGGTCAGCCTGGGGTTGTGCCCTGCTAGGGTGCCTGCACGGACACTCCTTTAGCGTGTGTCTGCTCACGGGTACCCCTGTGACATGTGCCTGTGCACGGGGAGGATCGGGAGGAGGAGGAAGAGGAGGAGGAGGAGGAGGAGGAGCATGAGCAGGAGGAGGATTAATAATGAGGAGGAATGATGATGGTGATGCTGATGAGGATGATGCTGATGATGCTGCTGATGATGATGCTGATGATGCTGATGATGCTGCTGATGATGGTGGTGGTGGTTGTGGTGATGATGATGAGGATGCTGATGATGACGATGACGAAGATGATGATGCTTATGATGATGCTGATGATGATGAGGAGGATGACGATGATGATGACGATGATGACGATGATGATGCTGATGATGCTGATGATGATGAGGATGATGATGATGATGATGATGATGATGATGACGATGACGACGATGATGATGGTGATGATGAGGATGCTGCTGCTGCTGATGATGATGATGAGGAGGATGAGGATGGTGATGGTGATGGTGATGGTGATGGTCATACTGATGATGATGATGAGGAGGAGGAGGAGGAGGCGAAGGAGGAGAGGCAGGATTCTGAATAGGAGGAGGAGGATGAGGAGGAGGAGGAGGAGGAGGAGGAGGAGGAGGATGAGGAATCATCATAAGGAAGGACACGGATGAGGAGGAAGGGCGGGGAGGAGGAACGAGGAGGTGGAGAAGGAAGGAACATGAGGAGGAGGAGGACGTGGAGGAGGAGGAGGAGGAGGAGGAGGAGGAGGAGGAGGAGGAGGAGGAGGAGGAGGAGGAGGATCCGGGTCCTTAGCCATTTTGGCTCAAGGCCGTCTACGAAAAATTCGCATCCCACGGGTGCAAGGGGAGGCGGCTTCAGCCCGCTGGCCGCGCCGCGGCCCCGCGGGCGCCACTATCCATACGTTCGTCGGGTTAATCATCAGGATCTACGTGCGGACCATCGTGGTCTACGAGCGGGTCATCAAGATTTCCGTGTGGATCATCATCAGTGTGTGGATCTCGATTTTGAGACTTCCTGGCAGCAACGCCGTGAGTCGTGACATATTCCGTTCTCGGGCGTCTGGGATATCACGCCAGACATGGACGTCAGCCAAATCCGAAATACGTCATGGTCGTTGCCGCCGCTGCTCTCCAGAAACACGACGACAAGTTTCACAGCGAACGCAACACTGGATGCGACATGTAATCCACCAAGTGCGACAAGGAAGGACTTGGTGCTATACGACAGCACTCGAGGGGGATGAGGAAATACGTGCTGTACGAGGGCACGCGCGGAAACGGTGCTATACGAGAGCACGCAGTACTTGGTCGTGGGGGTCCCACTGCAGCAGCAACGTTGCCACCATTTCACCGCTGTGCAGCTGCAGAACCCCCCCTGCGAGCACGACGCCTACGAGTAAACACGACGGCAACGACGCGGGCAACGAGTAGAGCTTCGAGGGCCCCCAGCTGAGCTCGGAGATCCACCCACAGAGCTACGAGGACCACGAGCTGAGCTACACGGACAACAGGCAGAGCTTCGAGTGCCACCAGCTGAGCCACCCGGGGCCACCGATCGAGCTACGAGGGGGGCCACCCGCTGCGCTTCGAGGGCTGAGGTACGAGGGTCCCCAGCAGCGCCAGGAGGGCCCCCGGCAGAGCCACCGCGGCCACGGGCAGTGCTTCGAGAGCCACCAGCAGAGCCTCGAGGGCCACCAGCCGAGCCGCCGAGGCCGCCAGCACAACTGCGAGGTCGAGCAGGCCTTCGGGGGCCATCCGGGGAGCTGCGTGCGCAATCTGCCGGGTCTCGAGGGCCACGAGCCGAGCTGCGCGAGCCGCTTTCGGAGCTACGAGGGCCGCCGCCAGCGCCACGGGCCCCAGCAGGGCCACGAGGGCCACGAGCAGAGTTTCGAGGGCGAGGCGCAGAGCTAGAAGGGCTTCCTGCGGAGCTACGAGAGCCACCAGCAGGGCTACCAGGGCCGCCAGCAGGGCTCCGAGGACCACCCGCAGAGCAGCGAGGGCCGCCAGCGGAGCCACGAGGGCCACGAGCAGAACTTGGACAGGGACGCGCAGAGCTACGACTGCTGCTGGCAGAGCCGCACGGGCCACCAGCGGAGCTCTTTGGGCCACCAGCAGGGCCGCGAGAACCACGAGCTGAGCCTCGAGGGCGACACGCAGAGTCGCGTTGGCCACGTGCGCAGCTACGAGGGCCCCGAGCTGGGCAGCGTGGGCCGCCTGGGAAGCTACGCGGGCAGCTGGCGGACCGACGATTGCGCGCGGCGGACTTACGAGGACCGCACGCACCCCAGCAAACAGAGCTGCGGAGGCCATCCCCTGGATGCGGAGGAGTTCGCGTTATTGAATCCCCAGGAGGAGAAGGTGGAATAACACAAGCAGATGGTGGAGAAGGACGAGAGAAAAAATGAGGACGAGCACGAACTGGGCTGGTACTGCCTCGATAGAGCTGGCCAGGAGTTTGGCCAATGTCCTGCCTATGCCATGCGGGACTGGTACCAGCAGGGCTTCGTCCCCCTGGCGTGGAGCTCCAAGTGGGGCCACCTACGCTGTTTCGGCACGTCGCCCTCCGCGAAATCTATTCGGGCGTGAGCAAGGCGTCCGTTGCATAGACACAGCTTGACCGGTACAAGTGCAACTACCACCAGTTCTCGGGCGGGTGGTAATCCAAATGGTTGGTGAAGAAAAGGGCCTTGAAGGGGCTCTTTAGGGCCCCTTGTGCAGCCAGTTGGTGATCCTAAAGCGCTCCTTTAGGGCCTCTTTCGTCACCCCTCATTTGGGTCACCCACCATCACCACCCGCCCGATGTCTTTAGTGTGCAGTGCCACTACGTCGATCTGATTTATCGTGGGGCCAACTCAGACCTTAGACCCCGAACAGTTCCGTCCGCTCAGCCCGCCCTCCTTCGCGCCTCTGTGGCAGGTGTTGTTTGGCTTTTTTGGCTCTAGGGCACTGGGTGCGACCTCGATCTCCTTGTCCTTCCTTCCTCCAGTCATAGCTCTTTGCGGCCCGGAAGCCTGGCCCAGTTTTAATTCAAACTCAGTGTATCACACCCCTGCAGCCCTGGTGCTGCTATGCTCCCGCGTGCGACTTAGTTTAGTCAGCACGCGCGTGGGGGTAGCAGTCACATACCGTCGCAAAAATAGCGCACGGTGCCCTTCTTCCGCTCC